ATCAGCTCGTGGAATACTTCCTCGGTAACCGACATGAGCCGCATGTTCGCCGAAGCCCACGCTTTCAATCAGCCCATCGATTCGTGGGACACCTCCTCCGTGACCGACATGAGCCGCATGTTCCTGGGGGCAATCTTGTTCAATCAACCCATCGGCTCTTGGGATACCTCCTCTGTGACTGCCATGGATTACATGTTTGGGTTTGCAGCAGCTTTCAACGAACCCATCGGCTCCTGGCATACCTCCAGGGTGGAGAGCATGAGTCCCATGTTTCATGCTGCTGCAGCGTTCGATCAACCCGTCGGCTCTTGGGATACTTCCTCAGTGACCAGCATGAGAGGCATGTTCCAGAAGGCAGTGTCTTTCAATCAGCCGATCGCATCCTGGAATACTTCCTCTGTGGCTGACATGACAGTCATGTTCAATGAGGCAGTCGCGTTCAATCAGGCCATCGGCTCGTGGAAGGTGCCGCCTTATCTGCAGAGGATTGCGATGTTGGAAGGCGCCACCGCCTTTGACTCCCCCCCCTGTGACGCAGGAGCCATCCCGAGCCCAAATCGGATCGCTTGCGAGCGTTGCCCCCCAGGCCGCTACGCGGAGGCGGCCTCCCAAGACTGCACTCTTTGCCCCTTTGGCTCCATTCCTACAGCAGACCATGGCACCTGCGAGGAGTGTCCGCCCGGTAGGTTCTCAGGAGTTTTGGATTGCGAGGACGCCGCCTGCCAGTACGAGTGCTTCGGCGCTTTCCAAAACAAGCGCCTCGGCTGCATGCGATATACCCAGATTACAGTTGGGACGCGCCTGCACGCAGATTTTTCAGTAGTGTCTCTGATCAGGTCTGAGCTTCGCGCAGCCATGTTGATTTGGGAGGCTGACATTGATCGAATCTTGGCATACCTAGTAGCGAGGATTGTAGAGACGAGCTCCATCGCCTCATACCAGTCAAGTCATGCCAGCTCTCAACTCCTTGCCGTAAGGTACGAGCCAGCAACGGCTGCGGTCCATTTATGGGGAAATACGAAACTGGGACGTGTCAGCCCTGACGGACAT